GATAATTAACAAACAACATTCTGAAAATATATCATCATCATATATTTTTATTATAGTTCGTATATTCTAGAAGACCCGGTAAAGTGGACAATACACAAAATAAACATCATAATCATGCCAATAAAATAATAATAATAATACCAATAAAATTATAGAAAACTTTGGTAGAAAAATTGAAAATAATTATATATGTCTCACATGCATCTTGACATCATATCATTTCGTATGATTTATCCACATTCACTCCTTTTGTGTGAAGCCTTAAATCTACCACACAAGCACCCATAATTCTCAAAACTCTACCAACATAATCTACCAATATCCTCTCTCTCTCTCTCTCTCTCTCTCTCTCTCTCTCTCTCTCTCTCTCCAACGAGTTTGTATTTTTGTTCCTTGATTCCTAATTTCCTACATTCCTCCCGATCCTTCCATTTCAACGTTGCATTTAACTGAGTTCATATCATTCATAAAGACATTTGGACGTTATTTGTGTTTCTAGCCTTTTGGAGTTTAAAGATTGTGCTAAAGGGTAGCACATCATGTTATCTAAGAGTAACTTCATAATCTAAAAAGAAAATACAAACTATAATTTCTTTTACACTAATTGGATTTTTCTAAAGGTAACACATGCTTTCACCGGATACCACTAGGTACACTACTATAATACATTTTCTTATTGTTGTATTTTCTTATTGTTGTTTGGTAAAAATCTATTTATTTGATATTATTATTGTTGGATGTTATTGCAAAAAGGATGATTTTGTAAAAAAATCTTTTGTAAGCATTTTACTACTTTTATATATATATATATATATATATATATATATATATATATATATATATATATATATATATATATATATATATATATATATATATATATATATATATATATATATATATATATATATATATGAAATTTATGAAACTGAAATTCAGTACATTAATTTTTTTTAAAGACATGAAGGAACTTTTGGTCTTTTAAGGAAAGTAAACTTAATAGTTTCCAGTTATCCTTAACAAAATGTGAAATTCATCAAATATACAATCTAACAGAAGCTCAATGAACTTGATTCAGTCAATTTAAAACAACCATCCATGTCTTTTCAAATAAATTAACGAATTTCAGTTTCATAAATTTCATCAAAATTTTCAAACCAAATGCACACCCAAGCTTTTTGTTGCAAAAGTAAAACCGGCAGTGGGTTATTTGAGCTCCTTATAAGGATTGTCAGTTTTAAATTTTATTATGGAATTGGTGTATTGGATATTGGTACATGGTTTAGGCCCAACTTCAATATCTAAATATCACAATGAGGAAAATACATTATATATACCTTTTAATTAAATAAAGGAAATGAGATAATTGCAATTTTAGTCTATATTTTTTTTATTTGTACCGATTATAATCTAAGTCTTATAATCTAGGCCTTCTAGTTTTAAACTTAAAGTATTTGTAGTTTCAGTCTCTATGGTTTTAAATTTATATTATTTATATTTTTGGTCCATGTAGTTTTTAATTTCAATAGTAATAGTTCTGGTCCATGTAATTTATAATTTGCATTTGTTACGAATTTGTCTCTATAGTAAATGAATGGTCACATGTGTAATAACTATATTATAGAAATTGTCTCTATGTAATTGAGACGTTATAAAAATGGTCCTTACATAAGAGAAATTACAATAATATTTATGGTTTCAGAGTAATAACGAAATTACATATTGTCTTTTTATAAGAGAGCATTACATAAATAGTGTTTCACAACACATGGACATCCCTACTAGGTATAAGAAAAATATACGAGACAATGAAATGTTGATTGGATAAAAAATATGATATCATTTGACAAGTCATATATAATTTTACGAGCATGCAAAACTTGATTGATTTAGACTCACAAAATCAAATAATCGAATGTCCTCATTTGACATTTCCTAAAACCAAGTTTACCTAGGTGGTTTAGATTGTGCCGAATTTTGTTTCATTATTTTCCGGTTTCTTATTTTTTTATTTTTTTTTTATGCTTTTTTAAAAGGTAAAATATCATACTCCTAATATAATCCTAAACACCACTTATCTTATCTGTGTTTCTAATTCCTCTAAAAGTGGCACACATATTAGAAGCTTATTTGATTAACTGACTTATATAAACGAAGAGACTCATTCAATGAGCCATAATGAAATTTTATCTCTTAGATCTCATATTTCCACATGTCACATACCGGAAATTTTAATTACTAATTAAATGTGTAAAATATCTATTTATTAGAACAAAAAAGTTTATGATATGGGCAAAGCTTAATGATACATATATATTTTATCATAATTATTAACAGATAAGAAAATCGAATTGGGAATTTATTAAAAGTAAAACCAAGAAAAACGGTGCTGTTTAATATCTCGCATTTAACTTTAGATGGATACATTTCAATAGTGGTCAGTTAAATCTGTGATATTAAATTTGTTGTCACACGTATTCAAACTAAACAGATTCTTTTTCGATATAAATCTAGTGTGACAATTTTTGCATTACACTTCCTCTTAGGGGTGTTTATGGGGCGGTTCGGCTCGGATACTAATAAAATTGTGAACCATAACCACTGGACGGGTACCTTGCATGCAGTAACCGAAACCGAACCGTATTGCTAAAAAAACCCGAACCGAACCGAAACGTATGAAGGCGGGTAACCACAGTTCGGTTCACATATATCCGCTAAATGTAAAAAATAAGAATCAATCAAAACTACAAAATCCATTTCATGATTTCAACCATTTTATTCCTTAAATAACACATTCACATAAAAATAGGGAAAAAAATATCAATTCTTGTTATTCAAATATGCATTTTATGAATAAAATGCGTAGACATAAAACCTTCATTATATAAATATGATAAAGTTGATATAAAAACATACATTTAAAATTTATGGTTTATGAATCTAATAATTAAAAGATAGCGTTTAAATGAGTTGTGATCCCAATTTTCATGACTACCGTGTGAGCAATTGGATCGTATTTGCAATTGTTTAGTAGTTTACTTGAGTATTAATTTTAAACTGGACAATGGACATCATATAAAATTCACTTTATATATATATATATATATATATATATATATATATATATATATATATATATATATATATATATATATATATATATATATATAATAATAAATGAAGGTTTTTTATTACTTATCACACTCTCATTGAATTTGTCAAATATCATTTTATGATTATTTTGAATTAGTTTTTTATTCCAGTGATTTTATAAGTTTTTCTATTTTTTTAAATTTCATATAATATTTTCATGTAATAATTGCAATAAGTATAGTAATAAATGGATATCAAGATCATTAATGAACTTATCTTTTAATTTTAAAGGGTAAATTACACCAATCGTCCCTCGTGCACATGCCAGAAAGCGTGTTTAGTCCATATTTTCAAAAATTAACTCTGACCGTCCCTCGTTTGCTTAAAACTTGCTAACTTCGTCCCTGATATGTGTTTTTGTTGCGAATTTAGTCCACTCCACATTTAAAATGACCATTATGCCCTTGGATATTTATTTTTAATTAATTTTAATATTATTTATTATTAATAACAATTAAAAAAACAACTCTCTAATATCTATCTCTCTCACACGTATGAAAATTTGAAAATACCACCACCACCTCCAATGTCTCTCTCCCCCCCCCCCCTCTCTCTCCCTCTCTCTCTCTCTCCATTCTTCTTCAATACGAAACAAACACACACACAAGAAGCCATCACATTGACTTGAAGAACCTCAAATCACTTCACTCTGACTTGAAGAAGCCATCAGACTACAAACTGAATCCTCAATGAAGCTATAATCTACATCACGAGGTAAATTAGCCATCGTCGACTTACACCATCTATGAGGAAGATGAAGCGGTGGTGGATGGAATCCTCCTCGATTTGGTGGCGGTGGACATCACGTTCGTCGATATGATTCTGTCGATCGAAATCCTATTTCTTCTCCTGCAACTCGTTAGTTCCAATTTGCAGGTTTAGGGTTTAGTTAGTTTTGATTTCTAGGTTTAGGGTTTGATCTTTGAGGTTTGATTTTTCCGATTTGTAGGTTTGGGGTCTCGTCGGATCTGTATGGAGGAAAGAGTGGGATAGTTCCAGAAATTGAAGTCGACATCTAAATCATACGTTGGTGGTGGTCGTCGTTCTTTAGCAATCAGCGAGTTTAGACCATGGATGGTGATTGGAGAGTCTAGATCAGACAATTTATGTGACATTTATAAAATCACATATTACAGGGATGGAAACTGGCTCCTACGATTCACCGGTGGAAATTTTTGGTTGGTTTGAGATACGAATGATCGTTGATGATGTATCAATTTTTTGAGAGATTATTTTGGTTGTGGATGTATCGATTTCTTGGTGTATGGTCTTGAAGTGGATTTGGAGTCGTGGAGTAATGGATTTGATTTCTTGAGAGATTATTTTGTTTTTTTAATTTAAAACTGATAAATAAATAAAAGAAATGAAAAAAGAAATTATTAAGGGTAAAATGGTCATTTCATGTCAATAGGGACTACGCATGCAAGAAAAAAACAAATCAGGGACGGTCTGAGTTAATTTTTGAAAATAGGGACTAAACACGCTTTTTGGCATGTGCACGAGGGACGATTGGTGTAATTTACCCAATTTTAAAATTCTAAAAATTTAAGCTAACTACTTTTTTTTGTTTATTTATTTTAACTAGGGAAGGACCCCCGCTTTGCGGGGGTTAGAAGGTGTTCGGTTGTAAAACATAGAAACCATGGAGTTGTAGACTGTTTTCTATCACAAATCGTTACCTTGAAGGGAAAAAATGTCTAAGAATGTAATATACCCACACAACACAGTAGAAGCATATCCTTTTTATTTAAAAGAGGAATATCAAATTATCAATCATAAATAAAATAAATTACCAGCAAAAACATGAAAAAAAAAATAGTGAACCCTTGTATAATGCCAAAACAATTTCAAGCTTTAAGGAGCCACCACAGTTTTACTTTGAATAGAGGCTTGGATTTTGATTTTGTGTAGGTATCGAAAGCAAGAAACTCAACCATATCTGAAAATTAACCAAGAAGATTGTTAGTGTTTTGGATCCAATGAAGAAACAAATTCAAGTGAAACATGCGAAAAAAAAAAGTTCATACCGGAGTAGTCAAAGTAGAATGCTATATCATCACTTCTAATGTCATCTTCTCACTCAATCCTACCCGACTGTTCCTTTCTTGACCTTAATTATTTTGTCCATACATGTAAAGACACACTAAACATTTGGCCTCACCTATAAAAGCAGGACCAAAAGGGGAAAAATGTTAAATGCAGATAAGAAAAAAGGATGTCACTTAACTCACTATACTTAAACTTCTGGTTATCCTTGTTCATGGTCATAGCATTGTACTTTAAAAGTACAATGCTCAAATAAGAAAAAAAATTAAAACGGTTTTAACAAAGCACAAACTTTAGAAAACTGTATACCTGCAAATGAAGCAACGGAATCACAGACTCTATCCAACTCGAGAGCCTTAAGAGTATCTTCAACAACATCCTTTTTTCTAAATTTATAAAAATTCTAAAAGAAACCCTTTTCCCCTTTTGTTTGACCACCCCTTCGATTGATTGTATAGTATAAACCAATGGGTAAATGTGGAATGTTTTTGGGTTGTATTTGATTAATATACAAATGTTATCTAAAAAATGATCTAGTAGCTATAATTATGTTTTTTTACAGTGATAACTGTCTCAGTACCACCAATTGTTCCATATTTCACCTTTTGTGGACCCTGCAAATATGTTCATAACAGTTTGATCATATGGTGGTTGTATATTATTTAGTGCGGTTAATAAGAAAAATGAGAAGCTCTCAAAATGGTGGAAATTTAGGACATACCATAACATAGCCAAAACCTGTCAATATGTCTACACCAAGTGATTTCATAGAAATGGTTAAATTGTTTCGAATTTTTGTGGCAAGATTTTGTGCATGATCAGCTACACCCTGTCTGTCATAACCAGCAGCTGCAACCTGCAAATATGAATTATTACAGATTAGTAAATTATAGAAATATTTAAGGACTGATTCTTATATTTTTGAGTAAGGAATATACCTGTAAACCAAAAGACTTCATATGGTGTTCATTTTTAAGCTTCCTCATCCGACAACTGACAGCAAGAAGGGCTTTTGAAGGAACACAACCACGATTAACACATGTTCCACCAACTACATCACCTTCGATGATGGCAGTTTTCAGACCCTGCAGATGTCAAATTCAAGTTTAGGAAGATGAAAATAATACAACTTCTTGATATAAGGTAAAAAACATCAAAAGCTACTCATATATCCCTTTCATTGCTTTGTAAACCATACACATCAACACTGAAAAGTATCTGTGATGTAATAATGAATAACAGAGCCACATTTCTAACAGAGTTATATGAAGCACAATAGATGCGCATAAAATTTCTACTCAGATAGGTTCAGTCAATATACTTATTTACTATTCATGAGATGTGCACACGAACAATATTCACAAAGTTGAAAATTTCCTATACTAAATCACTATATTGCGCAGAACAGGACAAATTCATGCAAGGAGATTCTGAAATCACGAAATTTAGTTTGAATACAAACTTCTCAAGCCATGTGAGAAACTCATCTGGAAGAAATTATATAAGCCATATCACATCTAACAACCAAAATAGACGAAGATGATATGAAGGACAAATTAGACACTATTAAAGAGTTTACAAATTAAATAAAAATGTAATGATTGTTAATTCTAATTTAGAACTTGATTATTACCTGCTGAGATACGTGTTGACTTCAAATAGGCAGTCATCTTTCTGTTGCTTTCATTCTTGGTGACTGCCAGTTGCAAGATCATCATTAGACTTTCATCAAACACATGGCGCGCATTCAATCGGTCCGCTGCATAACTGCAATCCAAACATATGTATAATCCAATGAAATTCAGTGATCAAATCCAACATCTATAGAAACGAAAGGTAGCCCTAAATTTACCAAAAAACGAATCATACAAATACAGAGGAGACGAAAAATCAACGAATTGATTATCACCTTTAACACAGCGATAGTCCTGAGAAGGAAGCTTGAACGTCGACTTCTGAACAACACAATAATTGTAAAAAAAATCAAGATAGAGTGTGAAGTTTTGAGAATGAAATCGGATACATATTGCAAGAAATAAAACGGCCTTGTCGGAGGCTTTTCTACTCGCTTCAATCCGTCTTCGCCACTTATCGGCTCATGGGCAGAGGCGATCTGTGTTTCGATTTCATACTAAAGAGATGAGAAGGGTTGGATGAGGAGCGAAGGAAGAAACTGGAAGGTCGTAGTTGATCGAGGCGTCGGTGGTTTGCGGTGTGATGGAAGTCGGCAACGAAAAACTGGAAGGTCATAGTTGATCAAGGCGTCAGTATGGTGGAAGGGATAAATGCAAGAACGAACTCCCTGGTGGGTGAAGAATATGAGACGAAAAGTAGGTGGAGAAGAACCCAGATAAGGAGAGGTGGTGGGTTATCAGTTGCCCGTATTTCATTGGAAGGAGTGGGAGGTGGCCACCACGTGTGTTGGGTTCACAAGTAGGTGGAGAAATAGAAGTACGCATGGAAAAGAAAAAAAAGAAAAAAGATAAAACCCACCGGGCCAAAAAAATAATAGTGGTCCAATCAACAGTAAGTACTGTTCAATTGAGAACCTTTTTTTTTTATATAATTTTATTTAAATTATTTGTTTAAATCTAAAAGATAAAAAATATTTTTATTATAATAATTCATTATTTTTTTTCTTATAAATTCAAAGTTTTCAAATATTTAAACTTTTATGTTTATTTATTTTTTTTATTTAAATTAACACATGTAATGCATATGTCTCACAACTAGTGTGTGTGTGCGTATATACGGTTCGGTTCGGATATCCGCGGATATCTAAAGATCTAAACCGTAACCGATCTGTAAGTACACAGTTTATTTGGTTTCGGTTTCATTTCGGTTTCGGATTTATCGGATCCGCTCGGTTTTGCGATTTTTTTGCACACCCCTACTAGTTGTTCCTCTCGCATATCTATGTAAAGAGGGACAAATATTGAGCCAATAAGCAATTGACTAAATTATATAAATGTTCCACATGGTATAGTAAAAATCCCATTTTGAGGTCAAATTTCAAAAACTTTGCACGCAAATGATTTCATTTTCTTTTGATTTTGGTCTTATAAGTTATAATTAACAACAGAGTTGGGAACTAAGTGACTGTTTACATTCATTTTTATTAACTTACACAAACGTTTTAATTTCGGATATTTTTATCCAAGAGAATTAATGTATTTAAGTGTTAATGTGAGATGATTCTCCACCCCCTGCACATGATTAATAGGTAATCCTAACATGTATGTTGCATCAATGCATACAGCACACTCACTCTTTAATTAAAATAATTAATGTCAAAAAAAATATTATTTAAACATTAATAAATTAAGTCAGAAACTTTAGCACTAAAATAAATATATTAATGCAACATATTTTATTTAGCTTGATAATATTATTTTTCTTCTTTTTGATCAAATAATTCTTTTTATTAAATAATTTTTCTAAAATCTTGATTTATATAACTTCTTTCGTGGTCAAAAGTCAAAGTTACATCTTATAAGGATAAACTACAAGTATATTTTTGAATCTTCTGCATATCGTCCCTATATTTTATTGTTGTTCCACATTTAATAGCATTTTTATGTGGATTTTCAAAACTTTTTTACTTAACTATTTAATTATAATTATAACTAGAAAAGATCTCATGCGTTGCCGGAGTCGGAAGATATTGTTTTGTAAAGTAAAGTAGTATGTTGAATTGCATTGAGATAATATGGTAAAGGAAGATAAACAATATCATCTAATTACATAAGTGAAGAAATCTAAATCATTATTTCTTGCAATAAGTGAGGAAAATAAAGAAATTGTCTCACAGATTGAAATTTATTGTCATGTATGGCAGCGGCCGGAAAATCAATCCGAAAAATATAGACCGTTGTTTTTTGTCTGTTAATGTGAGGGTGATTTAGTCTTTTAAGGTAGTAGGGACTGCATATATGACGACGGGTAACCATATGGACCATTTATGTAATTTTGGCGGTGGTAGTGGTGGTGGTGATGACAGTTGGTGGGTGACTTTATGGTATTGAGTGGGTATTTTCTAATAGATAAAACATTAATTTAAAACCAAAAAGAAATATATATAAATTAATAAAAAAAATCGGATTAGGAGTAAAAGTGTGATTATGGTTTCCATCGTTGTACTCAATGTATTAAATCTGGTAAACCACAGGGACCAATCGTGTAATTTTGTCTAACAATAATAATAATAATAATGAGGAATCATTTCTGCCAAAAGACTAAATAATAATAATATGTAATAAAATGCGAGAGTTATGAAAAATTCAAACGAAAGTGAAAGGGTTGTTTGTGAACAAAAGCATAAAGGTGAAAGTAGTTTTTTAAAACCAACATAAGTTGGAAGACCTAAAGTAACAAAAAAAAAATGACAAAAAAAGGAGCAAACATATATAACCTTAGGGAGCAATCTTGCCAAACACTTAGGAAGTTTACTATTCCTAACTTTCATATCTTTAATATATATATATATATATATATAATATATATATATATATATATATATATATATATATATATATATGTGTATATATATATATATATATATATATATATATATGCTACGACTCGGCCCATCTCACTCATGTTAATCGTCTCTTCCCTCCCTACAACCCCCCTGTAGCTCCAGCCAAGGGTCCCACGTATTCATTGTAGCTCCGACCATGGGTAGATACATAAGAGCTTGTGGGTGGAGATGTTTTGTAACGCCCGTGTTTCCGGGCTTGTCATTAATAGCAATTTAATAGTCTATGTTAACCTTTGTAAACCATTTTGAAATAATAAGAATGTATTATTTGAGTATTATGTGTTTTATGCTTAATTGTTTAATTGTGTGGCATAAATGAATTAAGAATAAAAATATGAGTTAAAATGAAATATTAGATGATGCGACCTGAACCTCCGGCGAGTCTTCTGGTCTTCTAGTGCGACGGAGATCTGCTAGTCACAATCAGAGAGATGCGTTAGAGCTGCCCCAAGGACTGTGCCCCGGGAGCAGACTTCGACGCTCAAGTTAGATCATTTGGTAGATCTGATATGGTCCTCCATAGCTAGAGAGAACCATCTTGGTGTTGGTGGTGGTGTGTGGTGGCTGACAGCGGCGGGTGGCTGTTGAGCCACCCGATCGGAGTATAGGGCGGCGGCTAAGCCAAGGGGAAGATCCCCTCCGTGGAGGATGCACTGTTCATTATATAGGGGACAATTAGGTCAATGAGAATTAGGTCAAGCCTTGGGCCAGCCGAATTCATGCCCAACTAGCAAGGAGCTGGGCGAGGCCACCCGAGGGTGCCGGGCGGGGTTGGAGGGCGCGCCCCAGACAAGGCTGGCGGGCGCGCACCAGGAAAGACTAGCAAGGGGCGCTAGGCAAGGGAGCGTCATGTAGGGCCGACAGGAGAGTCCCTAGCAAGGCTGGCAAGGGAGTCCCCAGCAAGGCTGGCAAGGGAACGCTAGGCAGGGCTGGCAGGAGCGCGCCAGGACAGGCTGACGCGCTAGATTAGTCTAGGCCATGCTAATGGACCATATATCATCAAGTCCCCCCAGTCTGGTGTTATTGGTATGCGACCAATGACATCGGACATGACTTAGTCATATAAACCTGCAGGAGAGTCCCCAGCGAGGCTAGCAAGGGAGTCTGTGACAACCCGATATTTCGACTCTATGTAATGACCTAAAAAGTCAAGTATTGTAACCACTTTTGAAATAATGAAATTAACTTTGAAAATAAAATGTACAAAAGTCTCTATTGAGTTACCTACTATGTTAGATATTGTGTCAAGGTTTACAGAAATATTAAGAACACTAAAATCCGAGTTATAATGAAGAAGTTATGACCATTCTAAGATTTCTGACAAACCCGACAACACCGATTAAACGAAAAACACGAAGTTGCAATACAATAGTTTTTAGCTTTAAGTATCTAAATGAAAGTTGTAGATATCATTAAACCGTAAACGTACGTAAAAACAACGTCCAAATCTGACTTTGTATGAGGAAGTTATGATTTTTCCATGATCCGGATATAGCAGTAGACAACTAAAAACTCAAAATAGAGATCAAGAGACTTTTAGCTAAAACAACCTAAATAAGAATCGAAGGTCTCAACCAAAGTAGCGCAACGGTAAAAAGTCTGGCAAAAACAGATGTCGGATGAAGTTATGGATTTTTGACGGGTTTTTCCAGTCCCGACCTGTTAAAAATAAACCATTAAAAATAAAATCAAAATTAGCTGACGAAGTCTAAACGAGAGTTGTAGAGTATATTCTCACCTACTCGTTCATATAAAGAACATTGAAAACGGAGCTCGTACGCGAAAGTTACGGATTTTACAAGTTTAAGGCTAGAAATCCGAGGCTGTCAGGTCTGTCACGACGTGACACAGTTTTCCACGACCCGGCAAGTGACTGAGGGCGTCCCATCAATGGAAGAGGATAAGATTTTGCGAACCACAACGTGACACAGATGGTCACGACGTGACACACCAGAAATGACCCTATAAATAGAAGCTTAAGGGTGCTGGGTTTGGTGCTCATCTCTTTCTATCTAAGTGTTGTTACTCTGCATAATTACCTCGATAAGCCATCCCAAAGCCCCGATTTTCACACTTAAGTTCCGAAGGAAGGTTTTACACTCCCGATATTCCCGAGATTCCCGAGAATCCCGAGAAAATCAACTCTTCCAAGTCGAAGTTTTGCTCGATTATCATCTCGCTTTCTCCCATCAATCAAGTGAGTTCATACCCCTATAAACTACACTTTCAAATGTTTTATGAATGCTTTTTATACACTTTTAAGGGGGGGAATACAAGTAAACACACGATTATTATCGTGTGTAACATAAAGTTTCACTATATACTCTTTTATCAAGTAAATCATATGTGATTCATAATTACTACATGGGAACTTTCGTATGCAATATATATTCTCGATAACATCTTGTCTTTTGGAAATAAAACATGTTTATATATATACACGAATCAAACACTTTATTTATACTTTAAGTATATGTGATCATTTATATCACTATAAATGTTATGCTTTACATAACAAGTGAGCATTACACTAGGGTTTACTATACGAACGAAACACACATTTTGAAAAACTATAATAATTATAGTTTACGAGAATATCATGAACATTTACATACTAGAAACACTATATCAAAGAGATATTTTCATACACATGAACAAATGGACATTTTCGTATGTAAATCTGTTTTATGCTAAGTTTTGTGAGACATTTCACGTACTTTCGAGTATGCATTTTAAGTCCAGTATTATATACCAAAATCCCTTAAAGGGGGAGCGTGATAGTTGTGTATAGATCTATACGGGATTGACCATCCCACACCTAAGCTGTTAGCTACAGCTAGGCCGGCAGGCTTGGGGTGACAAATGTCATAACTTTCCAACGCTTGAAGAACGTTGTTATATGCATCCTGGTCAAATAGC